GCTTGCTCGATTGCTGGTTGTATTAAACGGGACAACAAAGGGTGCTATGCCTACATTATGATGAATATTTAGTCCTATAGGTCTTGCTGTATTCAATGTCTCAATCCAATGGGCCTCCCTAGATTGACGGAATTTGGTAGTTTCATCTTCGGGCAAGTCAATTTCTATACGCTCAATTGGGATTAGGGTGAGATCGTCTATTGAATGGTCGTCGAGGTTGAAATGATTAGAAACAGGCTTGTCTTTCTTTAATTTGATGTCTGACCTATGAGCATTAAAGCGAGTTCGTAAATTATTCTTAGTTTCTCCTACATATTGTTTGGGGCATTTCTTGCATGAAATTAAATATATTACATTCGAATGTTCACATGTTAGATGTTCCTGGATCGGGTACCTTTTATTCGTAGAGTTGCTTAATGAGTTTCTGATATAAAGGGACATGTTTTGCATCTACTGGACAAACATGGAGCACTTCTTAAACCTGGAGGTACTTCGGCATAAAGTCTGTTTTTAGCTGCTATCTGTGCTAAGGTGGAATTTTTTATGTTTCGTAAAAATCTTTTAGAGTACCCACGCTCTTTCAGTTTTGAGAAAACAATCGTACAGGCTTGGTTGAAATCAGAAGATCTTGTACAAATTCGATGAAATCGTAAAACTTGTGACTTGATTATACCAGAAAAGGTATGTTTTGGGTGAAAGGAGCTCTTGTGCAAGAGTTGATGAGTATCAGTTTCTTTGAAATACACTTTAATATCCAGTTTATTTGTTTCTGCTATGGAATCTCCCTTAAAGACTGTGGTATCGAGAAAGTCTATGCTTTTGTCACTCACGTTTGCGGTTAGTTTGATAGAAGGATGGTGGTTGTTGAGAATTTCAAAGAATTCCGAAAACTGTTCGATAGAATAAGTCCAAACCATAAAAATGTCATCCAAAAAGCGTCCGTAAAAAAGTGGGTCAAATGGAAAGAGGGGCAACACCTCACGTTCCCACTCTGCCATGAAAAGGTTTGCGTACGAAGGGGCGAATCGTTTGCCCATTGCTGTCCCTGAAGTTTGTAAATATGTTTTACCATTAAATGTGAAATCGTTTCGACTAAGACAAATCTCTAAAAGCTGTAGAATTGCATCGTCGGGTCTGTTTGGATCTGGGTTTCTATTAAAAGCTTTACGAACTGCCGTTAAACCAGTAGTGTTATCGATATTGGTATACATAGAAGAAACGTCGATAGAAATTAAAATGGCATTAGAGGGAACTCGAAGATTTTTTATTTTATTGACAAAATCGGTTGTGTCTTTAAGGTAGGCGCGATGTTGGCATGCTAGAGGTAGTAAGAAATGATCAATGTATTCTGACACTGCATATGACTCACTACCACAGTCAGATATAATCGGGCGGCCTTTAGGGATTTTATTCGAGATAAACCACTCCTTGGTTGGATTCTTATGGATTTTAGGCAAAGTGTACAAATGTCTCTCTCGACAATCAGGTTTGGCAGACAGATAGTCATATTGTTTCTGTTTGAGATAACTAGTTTTGACTAAATCGGTAAGAATATTATTAATCATGTTAGCAGTTTCTTTGAAAATTGGTTTCGGTAAAATGGCATAATGTTTAGGATTATTCAGTTGATTCTCTGCTTCTGAAACGTAATCCTCCCTATTCAGAATGACACAACATGAACCTTTGTCACTCTTTTTAATAACAATGCTATCGTCTTTCTTAAGTAAGTTTAACGCTTCACGTTCCACTCGTGTGAGATCAGGCTTTTCGTGTGTTATGGAAAGGTTCACTGTTTGGCTATTCATACTCGCAAATGCTTTCAATATTTCAGGATGGATGGCGGCCTGAGGGGGTGTCCACGTGGATTTAGGAATAAACATTGTTCTAGCACCACGTGGGGGGTGGTTTCGAAAAAAATATGTGCAGCTAAGATTTCGTTGAAATCGTTCAATGGATGGTCGGAGATAATTCAAGTTAGCTATCTTTGGTGTATGAATAAACTTAAGTCCACGGTCTAAGATTGAATGCTGAAGGGGTGTGAGAATTTTGCGGCTCAAGTTAACAACAGTTTGGCCTAGCGGTGGCCTCTCAGTATTTTTATCCCCAGTAATTAGTTTAAAGACTTACTCGATGCTTGAAGCTGGTGTATCCAAAACAAATAGATGCTGTTTGCTGTTTCTGGAGACCAATGAAGATTATCAACTGTTTCGAATTCTTCTTCGTAGGGTGGTAAGATTGTTGCGCTGTTGATACTGGACTCATCATCATGTTGTTGAGGGTGCTGAGGTTCTTTTGTGCTTTCTTCGAGATTTTATTTGAAATGGGTATACATGTGAAGAGGATCTTGGAGTTTGGGAAGGTTTTGTTGGCTGTGGCAATTAATTTCTGGGCTTGGTTAAAGGAGGTCTTTGGTATCTGATCACGGTTGTTGAGGCCTACATGAAAAATAATGGTAATAGGTTTGGGATCATGGTCGTATGATTCCAGGATTGACTGTATGTGATGGATTTGGGCACCGGGGTAAGAATGTATTTCGGTGTCTGAACTGGTTTTGGTAATTCGATTCAGGTTAGATGATCCAATTATTAAGGTAGATTTCTTTAGAGCAGGTAGTTTCCATAATGATTTGTCCTTGGTTTGGTGATAATACGGTTTGGTAGCGGATATAATGGTCGTCGACGGTGTGATTGGTACTGGTTTGGTAGTTGTTAGAATTGTAGCATTGGGAACGGACTGGGATCTGGTTCGAGGAGGGGAAGGTCTGGATACACGTCTCGACTTGGATGGAGACTGAGGGGTGGTTTGTTGGTCCAAAAACGCACAGAAGGAAGAAAGGTTGGTGGATCCTGGATCACGTGGTGAAGATTCAGATGGTGTGGAAGGGGAAGACGAGTCTGAAAGTCAAAAGAGAAGGGGTGTGCCCTCTCTACGAGAGCGTTTACCTATGTCTGCTGGACTAGGAGTAGGTGAACTTCGGGCTCGTTTAGGGGTTTGGTTCGGCAGCGTGGTGGCTCTAGATGGTGCAGGTGTAGTGTCCATTTCAGTTGGTAGAGATATGGTTACTCTGGTTTTTGTTTCGTTGATTGTTTGGTAGAATTTGGAGATTACAGCTTGAGTGAGACGTTTCCCATAGGAGCGACGGGCCCAGGACAGGGCATGAGAAACGATGCGGTCGACAGCAGGTGATGATAAAGACTTGGTACGAATGGTGGTCAGCTTCTCTTGAAGTGTGGTTTGGTAATGGTCGATCAGGACCTGCGTAACCTTACAGAGCCATGTCCGATTGAGGGATCTAATATTCGGGTCGACAGCTGATGTTTTCATTGCTGGACGGATAAAACTATCCAACTCAGAGACTTTGCGTTTGAAGGTAAACGCTGGTTGGCCTTGCTGTTGAAGGGTAAGGATTGCCAAATGATGGAGGCACTGCAAAACTTGGAAGAACACCTTCACAAAGGGTTCTTTCTCCTTATGAGTGGGGACTAATCGGTGGGCTGGTAGTGGTTTCTGTTGTTGGTCAGGTCGATGGTTACCTCTTGATTGGTAGGCTGTGTTGTAGGTAGGTCGGCGATGGGGTGGGATATAGCTGGATGGGTTGGTTGGTGGTCGGCGATTGGTAGGTGGTAGAGGTCGATGGAAGACAGGGCCGTTGTAGGGTACGTGATATTGGTTTGGTTGACGATTAGTGTTTCTATTTCTGGCTTCTTGCCAGTGGTTGTTGTAGTTGGGGAGCATAATGAAAATATCTTGGGGTTAGAAGGGAATGTACAGCGGATGTAACAGGAGGAAACTGTATATGCTAGCGTGAAAATGTTGGGATCAAATTATGCAAATAAGTCAAACTGGGTTTGGGGATAAGAAAAAAGTTAGAAAAAAATATATTTCCTACAGTAGAAATATTTGTAGGTACAGATTGTATAAATCAAATGTTGAAATATTTAGGTCAATATGATAGAAAGAAATTTATATTAATTTCTCATAACGGCAGTGGATTCGACAACTGGATCGTGCTTAAAAATACAAAAAAAATGCATTGTCCTTTAAAAACACCCAGAAGTATTCTATCTTTACCTTTATCTAATCCATACACAGATGAAAATTTACAGAAAAAATGGAAAAGACGGAAAGAAATAAAGGGTAATTATTTACAACATATTAATTTCACATGTTCCTATCAACATGAAAAATCTAGATTGGCTGCATGGGGAAATTCGTCCAATCTTCCCGCGAATTTGAGAAAGATTGCCGACGTAGATATCGCTAAATACACGCAAGACAACTGGGAGGAATTGAGACACGAATGGGAACCTTACGCCAAGAGAGACACTCTCTGTTTGGGAGCTTGTTTGATGAAATATAACCAAGTCATGAAAGAAGTTGTAAACCAGAATATGTCCAATAATCTAACGGCTCCATCTTTATCTTTAAATGGTTGGTATTATTTATATCATTACGATAAATGGTTGAAGAAGAATGGTATGAAACTACTAGAATGGTTGCGAAACATACTGAAAAAAAAATATAGAAAAAGTTTATTCGCACACTAATCCTTTTATAAGAAATTTTATCAGCCGATCTATTAAAGGAGGAAGAGTTTCGGCAAATAGAAAATCATTTAAAACGAACAAAATGGATGAAATTTGTAATGTATTAAAGGAATATACAGAACTTGAAAGTAATAACATAATTGATTTATTCAAAGAATACAGTGAAAGCACAAAAGACAAAACGGAGGTTCATTCGAGACTTAAAAAAATAAACTGTACTAAACTAATGACATTTGATGCTAACGGTTTATACGCTTCAGCAATGTCGGATTTAGACAGTGAATATCCGAGAGCAGAAAGTTGAAGACCGTTTCGACCAGAAGAAAAAGAATTTGTAAAACTCTTCAATAAACAAAAATTCAGACCTAGAACAGCTATTTTAACAGTGTGGTTTGAGTATCCCAAAAACATGTTCTTCCAACCGATAACAGCTAAAGATAAAATCACTTTCACGAATAAAGAAGGTAAAAAGGAAACTGGTAACAAAATCAGGTTCAGAAATGGTTTCTGTCACGACGTTTTAACATCGGTTGATATTCAAGAAATAGTGAAAGCCGGTGGACGAATTATTAAAATATTAGATGGTATAGTATACGAAGAAAATTTTAAAACTCCACCCTATAGAGATTATATTTTAATTTTGAGAGATCTAAGAAATAAATATAAACGAGAAGGTAATATTGTGGGTAGTAATTGCATGAAATTATTAGGTAATTCCTTGTATGGTAAATCAATTCAAAAAGATATATCCACAACTAGACATTTATGGAATGAAGCAACTTTACAGGCTAACTTTGATTCACATATTAAAACCTATGAGAAAATTAATGATACTCAATATATTGTTGAAAAAGAGATTACTACCGAAGATAGTAAATCTACACGACTAACACCGTTTTATCTCACAGTAAAAAAATAATGAACAATTTCATTCACGTCATAAATGGATTTTATAAACCCGAAATATACTATACCGACACCGATAATTTGTACATTTCATCCAACAATTTGAAAAAACTAAACAGAGCTGGTTTGGTATCCGAAAAAGACTATTGCAAAGGTAAAAACGATTACGGTGACGGTGGAATTATATTTGGTTTATATTTAGCACCAAAAGTCAAATACAATATCATTCTAACTTCTGATGGTGTTCTAAAAAAGAAAAGAAAACATTTAAAGGTTATTCTAATGATAAGATAAGTGTAGAAGATTACGTTTAGTTAGCAAGCGGACATGATGTGTCGAATGACTTTAAGAAACCATAGGAAAAAAGTTTCACCAATGGAGTAACTATTCCAAATGATAAACAAACTAAAGTTTTTAGAAGTTATTTGAATAATGTTAAAAGAAAACCACCAACAGTGAAGGAATTATGTATTACAACGACAAAGATGAGTATAGTTTTGATGAAAACTATGAACTATTCAAGAAGAGAATGAAGATTGTTTTAAATGACAATTTCTTCGTTGCCATAGTCTATGAACCTGTTTTTACCGTCTTTGATTACCAGATTTATATCTTTGATCATGAAAGAATTGTCTGGTAAATAGGTCGTTTGAAACGGTTTCTCTAAAATTCTGTATCCGATCGGCACCGTAAAAGTCGGTATGCTGTATATGATTTGGCGTTTGTGCTTGTTGAAAAATCCACCGTTGATCAGTGAATGTTGATCACGTCGATGTCGTTCTCGATGTTGGCCTTGTGTGGCGCCAATGTCGATTGCGCGTATATTCGTTTATCGAACCCTAGTAACGCATTCAACGAATTTTCTACGTTGAAATCGACTTGACTGTTTTTTCTCAAGATCAGTTTTATTTTGTTCAGATTCAAATTTCCTTCGAATTCGATATTGTTTTTACCGCTTCCTGCGTATTCGGATAGGTAATCGTTGATGGCTACGTATTCGTAGCTTCCCGGCAGTAAGCTTATGGTTTTGAACGTAACTCCGTTATCCGTCGATATTTTTAGTTTATTGTTGTTTTCGTTGATATTTCTAATGGAATTGTAAACGGAGAAATACTTTAATCCCAGTTCGTACTGTTTATTGCGATCGAGTTCATACTCGTAGACTAGAGACAATTTGATGTCTGATTTATTCGAGGTGATAACGAACAATTGCTCTTTATTGGACATTTTTAATGACGTTTATATAGTCTTTTTTAGTGATGAAATTTTAGAAATTTTGAGTATGCTACTAAATCCATGTAATCGGCAATGTCAACATCCTCGCCATTCATTTAATCTATTATTCCTCTCGTTAATGTAAATATAAAGTCTTTTGTGTCGATTTTGAATTATTCTAAAACCATTGAACAACAAACCCTCATCATCAACGATTTGGTAAATCTGGGTCAGGGTTTGAAAAAAGACGTTTTATATCATCTAATGTCTTAATACCACCATATTCAATCGGTGGATCTTAATGGGGTGAAGGTTCTATAGGAGACTCGAGTCTCTTTTTAATATCTTAATAATTTAACAAATACATATCCATGATCATCCGGGTTTCTCCATTGAGCTTTACAAACCTTTTTAAACGTGTCTCTGTCCATTCCGTGATTTATCGACTGAATGATTTAAGATAAATCTTTGTCGTTCAATTCGAATAATAAAAAACAATTTGCGTTCTTTCTGATAAACATGGTGTCCATTCCGTAGAAAGATTGGGATTGGTATATGCAGTGACAGTTGTGATGTCTTCTTTTCGTGGAGAATTCTTGTTGAACGGTTTGACTTTTTTGTGCCACGCTGTCGTCAAAGACAATCAAGTTCTTTCGGTTGTTGTCGATTTTAGATAAGTCTAAATCGTTGACGTTTTTAGTCAGAAACACTTTGACGTCGGTCGGTTTCAGAGACCGTCTAAGATGTCTTTTATTTCCGCGTTCTCTTGCAAGTCTTCGTTGCTTTTGTAGTAGTGAAAATGTCTTGAACTTCTTCTTTCGAGACGTATTCTAAAGCTTTGAGAAACTGATAATAAGATTGTTCGGGAGTAGTCGTGTAAATATACCGAGACTCGAAATCTAAAAGGTTCGGTGTTGTCAACATGATAAAAGGGAGGTAAGTCTTTCCACAACCCGAAGATCCGCAAATGTATATGAGCTAGAAAATATGTCCGAATGTTTGAATTTCTTGCCCATTTTTATTTATTACATTTTCGTACCAAAAATCATCCCGTTGCCTTTATACTTTGAAAGAAAGATTTCCTCGCCCGAACGTATGTTTTTAAAAAATATGGCGTTGCCCTTGTGTTTGACCTTCAATTCTCCAGTGTCGATTTTATCTCCTACTCCCGAACCTCCTCGTGCTTCTCTTCCATTGCCAAATTGTGTCTACGTGCTTCGGCGTTTGCAGCGGCTTCAGCTTTCTTATCGTTGACAGCTTTGGCTATCCCAGCAGCCCCACCAGCAGTTGCACCAGCTGCAGCTAAACCAGCAAAGATTAAAGGTAAGAAAGGTAAAAATCCACTTTTTTTAGTTAAATTCTCATCAATTCTTTCCAAGTCTATATCGTCTCTGACTTTGCAATGTTTGTATTTATCGATAATCTTTTGGGTTATATGCACTTTTTTACCGTTGTAAGTTATTAGAGTCGGCGAATTCGTTTCGATAGCTTCTATTATTTTCATAACTAAAGTTTCTGGTTTCATTTTTAAAGGGTGTTTTTTTATTCAATTCTTATCATTTTTCTATCTGATATTTTAATCAAATGTTTTGCTTCTGCCAGCAATAAACAGTAGCCGGTTACATCTCCTTGTGTTTTATCGATGTGAATATTTATGTTTACCCCAGTTTTGAAAAGATCTTCTTGATGAGCTGACAGATCGAAACAAAAGATTGGATGATTGAGTGAAAAATCTGTGTATTCAAACTGAGGAGTATTTCCAAACAATTCGCACATGTTTTTATAGTTTCTGTACAATTCGTTGTAATCTTTTTTGGAAGGATCAATTGTCAGAGGTTGATTGGGATAATTATCGTTGTTCAATCTGACTTGAACTTTGCGAATGATGGGATCTTGAGTATGGTTCAATGCCACTCTGAAAATGTTGTTGTTGTTTGTCCGAGAGTCTGGCAAGTTTTTGAAACCGACCATTAGATATCTCGCTGGTTTGACGGTGTTGGTGATTGGCCACGTGGTGGATTGTCCCGTTAAAGTCATGCTACCTACCGTGTTACGACGAAGAAAAGCAATTTCGATGTCTTTGGTTAAAGAGTTGAATATTCTCGTTTCCACTTCTACGGAAGGAGTGATTACCGGTATGTAAAGCTGGATATTCGTTGTTTTCACAAAAGAATATCTTGTTGTCGTTGAATTTTCTTTGCCAATGAATTTTATACGGCAAACCTATGGAAACCTTTCTGTGTTCCAAGAGACCAAATAAAGGATACAACTTCCAATTTACGTAATTACCCCATCTGTTGTTCTCGAAAACATTGTTGTATTGAAGCGCTCGTTTTTCAAATCCGTGATTTACTCCGCGAGACACTCTTTCCAGTGTGTTTCTAGCAACTACCCTTATCCTAGCAAGGTCTGTGTCATTTGCTACAGTTCTGACCGGTTCTTTTAAAACTTCTCCGTCACCGACATCGGGAATCCATCCCGAAACTGAATCGTAGTTTTTGGGATACAGAACCGCTTTCAACATTGTGTCAAACTCGCCGGGGTGTTTTATGGTCTCTATCGGATTTTAACCAGCTTCCAAAACCATTTCGCTGAATAAAGACGATAAGAAGTTGTTTTCTAAAGTCGTGTTGGTTTGTGGAATTCGATTCTGAGTGGCGTCTTTGATTTTGAAATCGCATCGAAAATGGGCATCGGAAAGCAGCAACCAATTGGACAACGAATTAATTTCAAAGGTTACTCTTCCTCCTTCGTTTATTTGGGTCTTTGTCCCTACCGATGGTGAGATGATTACGTAATCCTCTTTCTTTTTGTTGAACGAATATTGAATCGGATCATACAATTGAAAGATTGGATCCTATCTGTAATTTTTGCTTGCCATTTTTATCCAATGATTTTAAACCCTTTTCCTTGTTTTTCTAGGGCTTGTCGTTCTAGTCTCTTGTTTCTTAGTTCTCTTATTAGCTGCAGTTCTTTAAGTTCGTCAGATTTTTTCACTGCATCGCTTATATTTACTCCTGCTTTTGCCACAGATCCAAGAGCTTGCGCTTCTGAGGAAATGAGGAATTTGTTGTTTGAGACAAAGTTGGCCACTTTGAGGATGAGAGATGTTAGCGCAGAGAAGAAACCGTCTCCTTCGAATTTTTTTTTGTTCGTGTTTTAAAATTAAAGACATCTTTTTTTTAATGCGGTTATTTTATACTGTATTATTTTAGTTAATCTTGTGTGGTTGGGTAATTTATATGGAGTCTGTTATAATACATTTTTTAACAGTCTGAGGAGTCTGTTATAATACATTTTAAACAGTTTGGGGAGTCTGTTATAATACATTTTTAACAGTGTGGGGAGTCTGTTATAATACATTTTAGCAGTTTGGGGGGGGGGGGGGGTCTGTTATAATACATTTTAACAGTTGTGTCTTGAAAAAGCTGCGCATGCGCAGAAGTGAAATGCGTCATATCCGAAAAGACATATACTACTGAGACCAGAAAGGAAGATGGTACAGAATATCCACCTAAAACCTTAAGACAATCAGTTTCACTGAGGCCCCGGATTTCTCTTGGTCTACCCTGGTGGTCCGAGTCTGATCCGTGGCTACTCCGTGGAAGAGAGCAAAAATCCTGTGCATTCTGGGCTGGTCCGGGCTTGCCCCAGGATTTCGTGGTTTGAACCGGGGAAGGATTATATCCGGGGCTACTCCTTGTCCTCTCCGGGCTAGTCTACAATCGCCTGGACTGGTCTGGGTATGGGCCGGGAGTATACACCATCCGGCCATCATCCGAAGGCAACTGTCAAAAGTTTAAGCATAATTACAGCTTATTCAAGTTATTGAATACATCTCTTAATTTTGCTTGTGGTTTGGAAAATTTGCCCAGGCAGAGCCATCGTTTTAAGCGCGTGGAAATGAGATTGGTAAACAAACCGCTTTTCCGCCGTCCGTTTGAATCTTTAACGAAAATCTTACTCAATTCTATACCGTAAATATTCATCAAAGCGTCATAACGAGTTATTTGTTTTGATAGGCTGAAATTTGCTACCATTACAGTAGGGCAAATTTTGATTGGACAATATTTAGCTCTGAATACGTTATTTTTCTCACTTGTGTTACAACGGCCCCGAGGAAGTATTGCGAATGGGGGTGTGGTTTGGACACGATGTATTCTAGCTTACTTGTTATCAAATTCTAATGCGTTCTGCATTTATGAAAATTGATCATTAAATCGGACATAAAGTATACAATTTTTCGACGAAGGGCTTACAGGGTTTTGCCCTGAAGTCAGCGATAGAAACCAAAATCGTAATCCAGGCATTGCTTCAATGTTTTTGATGTATTGTCTTTTACTATTTAAAAACGAGTCCAAATTCTTTTTTCAGGAAAGATTTTTCAAGGGGGAAGGTTCCAAATATCATAAAACCTCGAGGCAAAGTGTTCAATCTCTCTCTTTTTGGAAAAAACAATAAACTGGAAATGTTCCCTTAACATGATGCAGGGTGTGTTACAACATTAAGGTATATACGAAGCTTGACAGAAATTTAGTTAATAAATATAACACAACAACAAATTCAATATTCCCATCAAATTTAGATTTGATTATACCCATACATTCCAAGTTTGATGAAAATACGTAATAAGAAAGTTGGTAAACTACGTGGAGGTATGCCTTAAATGTGCTTCCGTAATCTTGACTTACAGTATAACATGGTTCAATCCACCCCAGGGCTTATTTATATACCATAACTGGACATAAAAGAAAAAAATATAGCTAGAGCGAAAACAAAGCGCCTTGAAATAATAATGAATTAAGGGAAGCAACTCTAACTGGAGTAATACTTGAAATGTTAAGTTCTTTTCGTTATTCATGGACACCTTACGCCATGGAACTGTTAGAATTTACATTAAACAATGTGACTAAAATTTTAGACTTTTACTTATAAGACAACTATGCCTTTCTGGCTGTCGAGTTACCGTCATTTGATTCTTATTAATACTCGTAGCTACATTCCAAGTACAAATTTGAACTGTCTATTTACTTTAAATTGAGTGTAGTTTAAAAACTTTGTAAGAATTGTTGGAATTTTCGGCAACGTTTGATATCACCTGAAGAATTATCGCCCTTGATATTAAAAAGTCCATAAAGTATTTAAGTATATTCAACCTCTTTGGATTTTACACGATCACACGAAGACCATACGACTTTGCGAAACCCTCGCGGTATCGGTGAAGACTGACGGATTCAAAATAATTTTAATGTACTGTCTGTTCTGCTCCCAAAGATCTCCGATAAGCAATGGATTTTCTCGAGTTTGTTGGTTGAAGATGACAATGCCACAGTTCGTTTCCACGGTCGGTCGAAAGTTTCATCCATCGGGAGTTCCCGCAAAGCCATCGTGACTAAATTCGAAAGCATTGTACTCTATTATGACGTGTCTTTCGCATAAACCCAATCAGGTGCAGGAAAGTAGGACGTAAAACTCCACTTATTTCAGTTATTTCCACATTATGACGTCCCGTAGCCATCTTTCTAGTGACATCGTGTGACGTTCTGTAGATTTTGGTAGACTTAGACGAAACTTGGTGAAATATATTCATCCATGGATGAGCCTTGTTGAAAAATCGAAATATGAGTTATTGCCTTTGTTCTTACAATCAAGAACGCGTCCAGTTTCGGCTCGTTAACACATATTTTGTCGAAACTTGGTGAAATCGTTTATAATAAATTTAAAACAAAAGTGCCAGTGGGCATATATTATCGTGTCTGGAAAATTATCTTTTTTGTTATTTTAGTATGGCGAGGATGACATGTTGGAGTCGGTATATTCTGTCGACATCATTAATATGTATAGTTGTATGGTATTCGTTATTGAACCAATGTAAACAGAATGTGGTACCAAGCCAAAGTGACCAAACTGTTGTCTTAAATCCAAGTAAACATTATTTGGTATCAATTCAAAGTGAACAACATATGGCACCAAACCGGAAGAAAATAAATGAAAAATATTTAGTATATCTGTGCGATGAAAAGAGAGACTGTGGTGGCTGGGGTGACAGACAGAGAGGAATGGTTTCTTTGTTTTTACTTTCTTTGGTGTGGAAACGGACATTTAAAATTTTGATATCCTCTCCATGTGATATTAAACCCTATTATAAACCCACCAAAGAATATAATTGGATATTCACCAAAGGTGAATTAAAGGGACTGAAAGCCAAAACTAAGAAAACTCTCGCATTTATTTCTAATGATACTCCACTGTTAAACCTGAACATGAACAATTCTGAAATTGCTGAGGTGCTGTATGTAAAAACCAATTGTTACAGTTATTCAAATATAGCAGAGAATTATACTCAGTTTTTACCGGACTATTTAAGAAACAAAAATCGTGCCACAATATTTCGAGAAACATGGAATAGATTTATGATTCCCACAGAAAAACTTACTAGTCAAGTATCAAAAATAATGTCAACTGGCAAAATAAATCGAGATGCTAAGAAATCTGGGAAAGAACTAATTTGTGCACATTTGAGAATTGGTCGTAGTAAATATTTACCTCATGATTATACTGGAATACCCCTTACTGCTGTCCCCGACGTCTGGGATTTTATTGATCATCATTTTCATAAGAAATCTAGGATTTTTGTGGCCACTGATCACCTCGATGTTAGACAAAGTGCTATGTCTAAATATGGTAGAAGATATATCGGTAGTTTCGCTTATGCTATGAATCCGGATAAAATGCGATCTAATTTAACATTGGCTTGTAGTTCTCAAGAATCTGCTTATGTAGATCAGTTGATGTTATCGAAATGTGATGTTCTTATTTTTTACAGACGAAGTGGTTTTAGTCTACACGCTTCATATTTGAAAACTAAGTGGAGAGAAATATATGCCATCATGGGACACACTAAAAACAGTGTTTCTCTGAAGAAAACATTTTATTAATATTATATACTAATTTTTAACGATAAATATATTGAATGCACCTTTCTTCACAGATTAGATATTACATTGTTTTTCTTTATTACTTAAGGCTTGCTTTCATTGTTGTCAAGAATTTGGAGAATTTGTTGATATTGTTAGGATTTTTTATTATTAGTTGTGAACACGTCATTACGACTTGAGGAACTGGTTGTTGTGAGACACGTCATTACGACTTGAGAAAGCCAATATTACTTATTGATCTCGTCATTACGACTTGGGGAAGTCATTATGAGTTGTTGCACACGTCATTACAACTTGAGGAACTGGTTATTATGAGTTGTGGGACACGTCATTACGACTTGAGGAAGCCAATATTACTTGTAGAACTCGTCATTATGACTTGAGGAAGTCCACATGTTCCACAGACAGAGAAAATAAACAATTTCACAAGAATTATGCCTTCTAGAGTGTTTACAAGAACAAGGGCAATAACTCATTTATTATTTTTCGATTTTTTGGTTTTCAATAGGGTTCATCCTTGGGAGATAACAAATAGTTACACCAAGTTTTCGTCGCAAAGTACAGAAAGTACATAATACTATTTATTCAAATGTCAATAATGCAAAAGATAATTGTCTCAAAGGCTTGTTAGAGTGTCCTTACAATGTCATATCGATTGACTGATCACGTGATCTTCTAGTTTACCGACGCCATTGGAATCTGCGCCAGGACCATGACTAAAGCAGTTTTGCTGCATTTCTTGGAGTTGGTTGAACCTGGTTAAGACGTCTTTCTATGTCATCTTACAAGTTATATCGGGTGTAATTACGCGCTGAGTGAGGGCCAAGACATCACTGTGATGTTACGCTGTTGGATGAAGATCCGGGTGACAATAGCAGTGAGTGAACGGTCGTTCTCATGCTGAAAGGTGTGATTTTTGAGTAATGCAGATTGTGGTACAACGCTGGGTCGGATAACCTGGTCGGTGTATGCCTGGGCCAATATTCTGGAAAATAACAGGCCCAAGTTTGATTTATTCCAGTTGCACCCCTTACCATAATGTTTGGTACTTCCCACGGATATCTTTAAACCACGCCTTGTTCTGTAAAACGTTCAAAACTTCTTCCCCACATTCGTACTTTGCCATCAGCGATGGAAATGAAGTATCGACTGTATCTGACAACGCGTGGGAATCCTCTCCTGGTGCCGCCAATGTAGTCGTTGGGTGCACCACTCAAGACGTTACTGATGTGAATACTTGACCCCTGCATGGCTGGTCATCATACAGGTTCTGGGGGGCCAGCTGATTTCTAAGATTGTCAGCACTGATGGGTCGCTGATACTAAAATAATGGCAATTGGTCTTGCGAGCTGTTACATAGCTACAACCGTGTTTTACACCTTTCATCTTGCAGATATTGTATATATCATTTGTAAAATATTAATTTGCAAATGAGTTTTCTTTTTTTGAGTACAAATCTCTTCGAACCGAAATTGATTCATTGGTTTAGTAGTTAAATGAAAGAATATGTTGTCTTATACATTTCGTCTGATGAAAGCTCTTGACAAGCCATTTTATTCAGTTTACTGAAGTCCCCTCTTTTAATTTGGTCTCTCTTCGTTTCCTGTTATTACTTTGTGGTGGTTGAAGTGATAGATGCTGTATTAACAAAAACATTAAGTTACAAACTCATAGACATTACTGAAACATATTTTTTCAAACAGAGGGTAGTATATTACAAATATAATATATATATATAGACACAGCTTTATGGAACAACAATTACTGGTTAAAGTTTTATCCAACGTTTCGACGTGTTTCCCCCGTCGTCCTCAGTCACATAATGAGAAGAAGTGATGGGCAAACTATATATACATTAATGCTTATTATTAATATAGTTTGTCTATATATCGTACTCACAATTGCTAAATGCCATTCAAAGACTTTATAATATATATGTTGTTACAATATTTACAACACTGTTATAGTTTTTGAAGTGAAGTTTAAGTGCGTAGTTTAAATTATACATAGAGTATCGAGAAAGCGAAATAATTCAGAAATTATTATTTGGAGACATTAATGATGTAAATTTTTCTAAAGCTGAATACACACAGTAATAAGTAGGCAAAAAAATCTTCAATAACGTTCATATTACAGTATTTACATACTGTCATTTCTATGTAATTTGTCTACCTCCCCTATTCAATTTACAGATTCTGTATACTACAATTAAATTTTGTTAAACATTTTTTTTATAATAGGTAAGATAGTTTAAATATTTTTAGTCTTGATCATGATAAGATTATAAAAGTGTAGTTCAGTTTCCATGTCGTAAAGAGATTGTTAAGTGGTTTTCTAAAATTTGTATGTGTATAGGAGGCACGTATTGCATTGAATTTAAAAACATCACTTGCACTATTCCAATTTTCAATCAGACATCTGTGGTTTGTGCAATTCCATTAAAACAAAGTGTTTTATGGTGTCACTAATCGCATAGGTCCCATGTGATTAGGAATTGCAGGAACTACAGATGCCTGGTTGAAAATAGGATTGGTGCTATCATTTTCTCCGATAGACATAAAAAATTAGAAAACCTCTTTACAATCCCTTTAATATTTAAACTGTGGCCAACATTAACGATTCATTATGTGAATTATGTAAACATGCTCACTGATAGATATTTTCTTTATGCTATTGTAATATAGTGTACAGGTTTCAATATTTCAGCACAGCTTTAATGATTTACAAAATTACACAATGAATACATTCATCAACTCAAATCTGTTCACTCTGTACTCATACTAAACTACGTATCTTTCTTTCTTTTTAAAAATTTGGACTTATTTATTGGGGGTAGAGAATCCAAATTGTTGTGAAAGGGTAATTGGTCAGTTCAGTATTAAAGGGTATGTTTAATGTAGTATAGGCTGTGTGCAAGGTTTTGTAAGTCAAAGTATATGGCAGCCATCTTTATTCTCATTCTCTTATTGCATAGAGTTGAGTATATAAGTCCAATTATGTAATTAGATTCAGAAGTGGTAATTGCAATTATAGTAAAAATAATTAAGTTAATGCACATTTATATGGTAAAAATATATTTTCTAATAAATTCATTGGTTCTTCTAGGTTTAAGATATTTCACTTTACTTTCCAATTGTATAGTTACTTTAAACAACCCTTCTGGGTCTGTACATTTACTATTTAATTATTTATATTGAGTACGACTGAAGTGGCATTATATTAGAATATTGTTCGTGTCGTGTGAATTAGCATAGTTATATTATGTTATTTGACTTTAATTATATAATCAATTGGTGTATTGAGCACTATTTTAACAGTGAAAATATTGTATTGTATAATCATGTTTATTGTACTTTGGGGTTTTTTGTCATAAAGTTTTTACTGCATGTGTGGTCATTTATTCGTCTTGGCCCTCACCCGATTAAAAATATCACGTAAAACCTCTGTGTCTCCACATTTTGGTCAAATCCCTACTCCCAAAATAAAATTACTTTTAAATTCCAATGGATAATTAGATACCAAAATTTTCAGATAAATATGCGGCATTAGTGCAAAATTAACTAGTGAAATAACATACGTTAAAATCGTGACGAATAAGTGCTCAGTTTGGCTTCATTGAAAAAAGAGTTTAATCTGAAGCAATTAAACTTTCTTATCAAAGAAAACAAGACAAAATTGAAATTATAAATGCTACTTGGCGTAATTTTGCGACGGCTTAATTATTATAAGGCTACCGAATGAGTGGGTAATTTGTCCATGAAATTAAATCAACTGTAAAATTTGTACAAAACGCATGCCTCTATTCGAGCTTCTGATAGCTATTTTGAAAGTTGTAAGCTGGTCTAGAGATAGAAAGACTAGACCCTGTTTTGTGTTTTCCCACACCTCCAAGGTGTAGAAATTTAAACCTATATATTTAAATCGGACCCAGGGATATTCAGAAATATGAATATTTTTGTAGTTCAGTCAAACCATCATAATCTCCCTTCATCATTTATGTCAGGTCTGTGGTTCCATCAAATTGTTTTTTTTAAAGAAACTGATCTCTTGTCGGACATTTAAAACTGCGTACTGTGCAAAGCCAAACTAATTTAAGTCATTGTTTAGGTAGTTTAATATCATATTTTAAAAAACGCATCTTCGAAGGCGTGGCAAATCCTCATAAAACTGGGCCTAATTGTTCTGACTCTATCTAGCCGATAACTATCAAAATATCTATCCGAGGCTGGAATAGAGGCAGATGCTTTGAACTACTGTGAAATATCCGATTCATTAACACAAAGCAATGGCAATATTCTCAATTATTATAATAATCTAATGCTCCACTCCCAATATACAATTACTTTTCAATTCAAATAGATGATTATATACCAAAATTTTCAGATAAATATAATTTTTATACGCCCACACGTAAGATGGGCGTATATTGTAATCAGTCCGTCGGTCCGTCCGTCCGTCCGTTCACATTTGGCTTGTGCTCACTCTACAGGCTACCGTTCTTTATGGATTCTTTTGATTTTTATTTTGTATGTCAATGTTGTTATGAAGATGATCCCTATTGATTTTCGTGATGATCGGATAATTTTTCACCGAAATATCGTGTCTGACTTGACGTTTTTCTCTATTAGCTATATTGTGCAACTCATGCTCACTCTACAGGCTACAATTTTTTACAGATTCTTTTGATTTTTATTTTGTGTGTCGATGTCATTATGAAGATGATCCCTATTGATTTTCGTGATGATCGGATAATTTTTCACCGAAATATCGTGTCTGACCTGAGACGTTTTTCTTTATTAGCTATATTGTGCAACTCGTGCTCACTCTACAGGCTACAATTTTTTACAGATTCTTTTGATTTTTATTTTGTGTGTCAATGTCATTATGAAGATGATCCCTATTGATTTTCGTGATGATCGGATAATTTTTCACCGGAATATCGTGTCTGACTTGACGTTTTACTCTATTAGCTATATTGTGCAACTCGTGCTCACTCTACAGGCTACAATTGTTTACAGATTCTTTTGATTTTTATTTTGTATGTCAATGTCATTATGAAGATGATCCCTATCGATTTTCGCGATGATCGGATAATATTTCACCGAAATATCGTGTCTGACTTGACGTTTCACTCTATTAGCTATATTGTGCAACCCTGTAGTCACTAAAGACTGTTTAATCATTTCTGACAGCTGCCAGTGGGCGTATGTTACCTTGCCTGGCAAGCTATCTTTTTATTTGTTTTTAAAAGTATTAAATTCTCTCTGTACATTGTAAGTAATTAAACGTATGAACCAAATAGAAAAACCTAAACTTTGTTTACCATCGATTTTAAACAGCCTCGCCCTAATTAAAGTATAAATGCATCATTGAAGAGGAATATGTCTCCAACGAATTCTAAAAGTGTTAACAAACAATATCGAGTCTTTTTGAAACTTAACACCAAACCAAGTTTTAAAAAAATACCTCTGTGATTGTCAAACGCTTTTACAAGACAAATTCCCGAACATCTATACTAAACGTTTGGTGACTGCTTACAAAAGGAATAAAGTTCTGAGTAATGTTCTTGTCCATGGTCACCTTTTATTAACTCACCGAAACAATCGCATTTTTATCTTGTAAATCTCTCCAGAAGTAGGTAATTTCTTCTCAAATTGGTGTATTCCAATGCTAAAATCCATAGTCTCTACCTGTGACCTTGGCCAGTGCTTCTATTAGAGAATATGTCTTATAAAACCTTACACCCAGTTCGTATTGAAGTGGATAGATACATTCGCCTCTAATTATTCCTCCTTTCTCCCCTGTCCCATTCTACCCCTGATTCCCACTACATTGCATGAAGAAAGGAGTTGCCATTGTAAAAGTTGAGATGAATAAAGAAAAAGAATTATTAAATTGATATAAAAAAAAATACCCTCGAACATTTAAATATGATTACAACTAATTGAAGTAACTGAATACAAATCTTAATATTGTTTGAAATTTAGAAATTTTGTCGAGGCAGCGGAAATATTATGTGGCCACATTTTAAAATAGAAAAGGGACGAAAAGGGAATAATTTAAGGGCGAATTGGAACGGGGCGATGTGGGAAGACACCTAATTTACGACGTATTTGATCAGCAAACCTTAAATTTAAATTAGGTCGGCACATGCGACCGTCTATGCGAGTCTGTTTACACTTGGGACAATGACGTCAACGCGCTGTAGGCCCTACCGTCTGTTCGACAGTTTCTGTAGTTTGTAAGTCGTAAGAGGTGGCAAGGTGATGAGGTGGATGTAACTTTGTTCATCATAACGAATTGCCTCTAAAGAGATGAGATGTTCGTCTGTCCACCTAGAAGGACTTGCGTAGCCAGCAGACTGTGATGGAAATCCTGCCATCAATGTCTCAACCATCCTGACCCGTTTGAAAATAAACATAGGCGACATGTGTTCACCCGCCGCGCTCATGTCGCAAACCCCTGTTACTGTTTTCCCACTTTCACCACTTGTCATTTTGCTGACCTGCTGTTCACATTTAGTGGCTATTATTTTCCCAGACTTCTGGATATTTGTTATCCCCGTCTCGTCCATATTCCATATCTGAGAGGCACGAAAGGGCTCTTTTCTCAACACTTCTTCATAGATGTTAAAAAATTCATTCACTTTTGGTCTATTGAACCCAATGGCACGAGAGAGATTAGTTGCCTGTGAACGTCTGACACTCAAGATCGGAAATCTCCGTAAATACCCAGAAAGCCAATCTTTCTTAATCTTTTGGTTGAGTGGCTAATTCCAGACTTTTCTGCTATTTCCGCACATCAACAGTTGTTACCATATAAGAATATTTAATTTGAATGAAATAACTTTCAAAAAATGAAAATTTTATAAGAAATGTAGCTAAATCCTTATCCTCATCTGTATCATATTTTTGTCAATCTATCTCTAAATGTCCTTTCTCTTTTGTTATTATTATACAGGGCGTACAATAAGCCAGCACTTTTTTTTTTAACATTTACGTAGTATCGAGATATTTACGGACAGTCTGGACCATTTGTCGGTCGGATTTAGTCGTGACTTACGGGCACCCACAACTTACGTGGGCTTGTGAAACGCTTAAAACTGTTAGTAACAGTGTATGTATTACGACAACTCGTAATTTACAAAGGCTTTGTGAAAGGATATCCAGAACAATAGTACTGGAAACTACGGCCTCTCAAAGTGAAGGTTTAGCGTCACGTGATGATGGTTTTGATGTAAACCGGGTATCAACGCTCAGTAGGCCTAAGGATAATGTAAGGAGTGCATTGTAGTTCTTCAAACTAACCTCTGAAGGTAAGTTAGAAGATGACAAGACCGTCATTTGAGTAGCAATTTTTCACAACAAATTTTGCTAAACAAGTTGAATTTTGATTTGAATTTCTAAAAATTTGGTAGCAATTTAAAATGTTCCAGTAGTAAGCTTTCAAATGATCTTGCCAATGACAATTTCATTTGATTCGCAGATCTTCGTGATACATTTTTAGTTTTTGCTTATCATAGAAAATTTTGGATTGCAAAAGGTGTCAGTTTGAATCGCAAACTGCGTTATTCATTAAATTGAAAATTAAATTGATCTGTCAATAGTCAATTTTTTTTTTATTTAATGATATCCAATAACATATTTAATGCCAGGCAATAACATATTTCATGCCAGTCAAAAACATATTTAAAGCCAGTCAATAACATATTTCATGCCATTCAATAACATATTTAATGCCAGTCAATAACATATTTAAAGCCAGTCAATAACATATTTAAAGCCAGTCAATAACATATTTAATGCCAGTCAATAACATATTTAAAGCCAGGGAAGTTTGTAACAACTGGTCGTATTTGCTTATTTGTGCATTTGGTTTTTTCATCTTATCTAAATATGTTATCTATAAATCAGAAACATTGTATATGAACATTCAATATAACACCTGACATTTCTGTTCAGGAGGCGAAAAATGAAGGAAATTTAGCCGAGTAAAATCTTTTTTTTCTGAAACTGTCTTGAGGTGAAATAGGCTGTTGCTGTCGGGACCGACATGTATCTGCAAAACGTAAGGTTACTGATTGAACTAACTGTCTAATAGCTATCATTATGTGTTTTCTACTTTTCCTGTAACAATGGCAACCAATTTGAATGTTATATATATTTATATATATTTATTCATATTAGACCCCAATATCATCTTGGTTTGGCCTTGTTTATATTATTATCGGGTATTATATTTAAGTGGCCTTATTACTTGTATTAGCGTTATTACCGAGATACGATACTATTGTTTTATTGCTGATGTCATAAGTGAAGAGCTGCTAGCTCCGTCTTCTATAATTTTTCATGGTTTTTGTATGCTGACATTCTATTTGAAGAGAACCTCATATAAAACTTTAAAAATGTGTTATTATAAACCCCCAAATGACACAATATGGTGGAGATGCCGAAGGTTTTGACTTTTGTTTTCGTGTTGGTTCTTTTAACAACTTTTGTGGATTATTGCTCGTTCTCGATCGGTCCTACGTTTTCCAGATCGAAAGCATGTGGTGTTGCCATTGGTACTGCTGCATCTACTAACAATTTCTTACATCCCGTGTGTGTTGAAGGTGTGTTCCTTTTTCATTGTAAGCAACATGGAAACTTCTCCCTGGCCATATAATATATTCGGTGATTTTTTAGACTCAGACATTCAGTATGCTGCCAATACTCATACTAATCATCCTGTTGCAAATTCACCAAAGAAACTTGACTTTGTTAGAGATTTGACATCGGACAAATCTGGTACCTCTGGAATTGGAGCAAGCGTGGGTCACTATGGTTCCCGATTGTCAACCTTTTGCGGTGATGGTAATGTTAATTACTTTCTGGAAGAATTTGAGTCCTAATGTCTTTTGGCTAAATTAACAGGTCGTCAAAAACCGGCTGCTATTCACTTGCAACTACGTGGTTTAGCAAAGATTTGGTTCTTACATTTGCCACAGATGGACAAGATCTCTTATGATACCTTTTTGCCTGTTTTCAAATCTAAATATGGCGATACTAGTACTGTACAAATAACAGATGAAGTGTTGTTTACTCAGTTAATTCCACTTAAACCTTCACAGACTATTGATCAATATCACAGTTTAATTGTGGAATGAGCAGCAAATTTACATAAATCGGAACATCAGCTTATGTCTAAACTCATTGCTGGCTTACCAAGTCAATTGGCCTTTTATGTTCGAGCAGGAAATCCAACCACACTGGAAGATGCTTGTAATTCTGCAAAAATGAGAGAAGTTTATGGATATCGCAATGCCAATATAGCTACTCAGTCAGTATTTCCTCTGCAAACACTGTCTTCTAGATACATTCCACCACTTACTTCTCAACATGATAGTCATCTTCATCAACCAGTATCCTCGTTCACTTCATTTCCATCAACCCAGCCTGTTCAACGCAGTGATGATTATCAACAACAGATTCAGGATTTGCAATTACAGGTGAACAGTCTGCAACAACAACTTCTACAGACCCATCTTAACAGGTCTCCATCATTTCAAAGTCCGTCACATTTGACGGGAAATTCTCAAAGTGCCTGCTACAGCTGTCAAGCATTAGGACATCATTCAAATCAGTGTAATTGGAATCGTGTTGGCTCTGTTCGTCCTACTTTAAGTTGTTCGAAATGTTTTCAAAATGGTCATACAGTGAATAGATGTAGACAGAACCAGGGAAACTCCATGCGCTCAAGAGTGACAGAGCACTCTCCCTTGAGCAGTCAACACAACCAATAACAAGTGCTCTTCAAACTCAGGTGAAACGAAATCATTTTATTTTCTTGTCAATGTCCTTTCAACAATTTCATTTGAGTTTGTCTGCATTGTTAGACTCTGGCAGTCCTCTATAAATCATTTGTATGAATCACTCCCGAACTATGTGAAGACTTCAATGTGCCCTGATGCTATGAATCTGACATTAGCAAACAATCATAGTGTTTCAGTTCTTGGATCTACAGAACTAACTTTTCAGTCTAAATTTGGTGTACATAAAAATATCAAGTTTTTTGTTTTAAAGAATACCTCTTAACCTATGTTACTAGGTACAGACTTTATGATTTCACATGGTGTTAAATTAGACCTTGGTAGGTTGGATTATGATGAAGTATCCTGTAAAGTTAAATGCCCAGATACTACTATTCATACCAGTTAATACAGAGACAGTTATATGGGGTAAAGTACCAAAACATATTTCTCATGGTATGCAAGGAATTTGTTATCCACATGATCAACTTTACCGGAAGAATGTACTTGGATCAAGAAGTCTGTGTGTGGTCTCATCTAACAGGACAATTCCTATTAAGGTATTGAATTTAACTAGCCAACCAGTAACTTTATTTAAAGGCTGTTCACTTGCAACCTTTGTTTTACTTGATCCTACATGCAATATCTCTTCTGTTAGTGATTCATATAGTAACATTGCATCTGATGACAGTATTCCTGTCAACCATATAACAACTACGAGTAAGCAACACACTGTATCTGATACAACATTTTTGAGTAATTTTGACTTCAACAAATCAGCTGTGAATGAAGAGCAATTACAGGACTTACGACAGTGTTTGATTTATTATAAAGAACTCTTTACTACAGATGATACACCTGATCTTGGTCAAACATCAGTTGTTACTCATAAGATTCTTACGTCCAGATTTTAAGCCCAAACAACAGCGTCCTTACAGGTTACCTCCAGATAAAAAAGAAGGACTTCGACACCAACTAGATGAATTGGTTAAACAAGGAGTTATCTGCACAGTTAGAATAGATGATGTCTTACCAGTCACCTGTCCAATTGTATTAGTCAGCAAGAGGAATGTTAAGTCATCTCATCCACAAGGTTCCAGAGAAGCCAGTCTATCCCAGTATCGTTTTTGTGTTGATTTTAGGTATCTGAATTCACAAACTTTAGATTTTAATTATACAATCCCAGATTTACAGGAATTAACAGTGTCCTTTAGCACTAACACTCCCAGATTTATAACATCTGTTGACTTGAGTAGTGGATTTTTTCAGTTACCTTTAGATACACAATCTACCAATTTGACTGCATTTTCGACCTGTTTAAGCACTTATAAATTTTTACGCATGCCCATGGGTCTCAAAACTTCACCCAATTCCTTCCAGTTAATGATGGACAAAATTTTGCATGGTTTGACTTTTCATTCTGTCTTATGTTACCTTGATGACATTTTGATTTATAGTTCCACTTTTCATAATCATATCAAAGATATTGTTACTGTCTCTGACCGTCTTATAAGTGCTGGCTTAAAGCTCAACCCCAAAAAGTGTTTTTCTCGCTCAAGAAAAATGTGAGTATCTTGGATATGAGATTTCAGCTTCTGGAATTAGCCCACCATCAAATCAAGTCAAAATTATCCTGTACCTAAGTCTATTAAAGAATTGCAACGTTTCTTAGGATTAACTAATTGGTTTGGAAATTCATTCCTAATTATAGTGTCATTACTTCTCCTTTATATGCATTACTTAAGAAAACTGTTACTTTTACATGGGAGACAACTCGCCAGTCTGCCTTTGACAATGTGAAAAAGCACTTTTATGTTCCAAGGTTTTAGCTTTCCCTAGATATGATTTGCTTTTTAAATTAAGTGTAGACTTTAGATGAAAAGTAACGTTCACGTGTAATTAAATTTGGTTCCAAAAGTTTATCAAAATGGCAAAGGTCGTATGGTCCGACCAAACTTGAGTTATTGGGTGTTACCACTAGTATTTTAGATTGTGCACCTTATTTACGGGGTCGTCATTTTATTATTGAATGTGATCATCCGGCATTGCAACCATTTTTTCAAAAATCACTTAAAGGTGCCATTTATGATCGTTGGCTTACAATTTTGCAACAATTCAGTTTTGATATTCAATATAAGCCAGCCGTTCATATGCAAGTTCCTGATGCATTATCACGATGTTTTCAAAAATCTAGTTTAAATGTCAATCTAGGAGAAGCTAGCCCTAATGAGGAAGATCCTCATTTTCCTTATGTCAATGAAAATGTAAATCGTATTACATTGCCTGGAGGAGTTGATTTCCAGGAATTATTTTGTAAAGAGAATTCATGTAATGTCATTCAGTTGTCTGACCAGGAGTCAATTTAGTGAGGACTCTCCTGGTGAACCCTGTACCGCTACTTTATTACCTTGTGATCCGATTTCTCATAGTTCTAGTGTTCAAGTCCATAGTTATAAGTCAACTGTTGATCTGGAAATTTCCAGTGCTACTGTCCACTCTGACATAGATCAGCAATTATATATTGAGAGTATTGCACTAATTGAACATTTTGATTTCAGCATTTCTAAGTTTCAAGATTTGCAATATAATGATCCATATTTAAAAAGCATTATTGATTATCTTGTCAAAGAGAATCAAGACGTTTAATTTTTAGAATCTAGTGATTGCATGGTATTTGAAGGTATATTATTTCATTCACGTATTGCCAAATCAAAACGTGCCAAGACTTTAAATCATTATCAACTTGTTGTACCTTATGTTTTAGTCAATCAACTTTTGCAGTTATATCACGATTCTCCCCTTGGTGGTCATGGTGGCATTCAAGATACAACAGATCACATTAAAGATTCTGATTATTTTCCAAAAATTAGTACAATTGTCAGTGATTAAGTCAAATCTTGTAATGCTTGTCAAAGTCGAAAATTAACCAAATCTCATACAAAATCAGCTATTGTAGCTTATCCTACTCCAAATTCACCTTTTGAAGTTTGGCAAGATGACCTATATGGTCCATTACCCAAGTCTCTCTAGATACAATTCTTGACAGATTTTGACGAAACTTGGTGTGAGTGTCGAAAAACATTTAGTGAATTATTGCCCTTGCTTTTGGACCCTCATTCAATTTTTAGTTTGTAAACATCCTAGAAGGCACAACTCTTGACGGATTACGAAGAAACTTGGTGAAATTGTTTATTATAGAGCATAGAAAACTCTTTGTATAAATGTTAAGTTACACAAAATATTCGTTTCATAGTGAACAAAAAAAATCATCTTTCAATTACTAAAAGATAGCAAACTGAATGAATGACTCCTTTGTATTTACATTTAAATTATGTATATGTTATTATATGTGTCAATAGGCTTAAGTTAGGTGTGTCAATAAGTATTGTGTAGCACAGCTTTTCAGGAGATGACCGATATTAACTATATTAACACTATTAAGTTACCCTTCATCTTGAAAGACCATTATATACCAAAGTAATGGTACTGACAAATGGCCACGAGTGCAATAATGACTTCAATAATGCAGTACTAGTCTCTCTAGATACAATTCTTGACAGATTTTGACGAAACTTGGTGTGAGTGTCGAAAAACATTTAGTGAATTATTGCCCTTGCTTTTGGACCCGCATTCAATTTTTAGTTTGTAAACATCCTAGAAGGCACAACTCTTGACGGATTACGAAGAAACTTGGTGAAATTGTTTATTATAGAGCATAGAAAACTCTATTTTATGGGAGTTTTTTAACCTCAGTCTTGAAGAAGCATTCAATTTTTTAGCTCGTAAACAGCTAAAGGTTCGATTCTTTTACAAAACATGGTATTATTGTTCAGTATCACCCAAAATAGTTCAAAAGATGTGTACGACTAAAGAATGAGTATTTGATACTGGTAATTGTTACTGTACGGCCAAATGAATTTGTTTAAAATCTAAGCTGCCCCTGGCAATCTATCTTTTGAATTAAACTTCTACAAAAAAGTTTTCTTTTAATTATAAGTCCATACGTAATACGAATAGCTGGTTGAAATAGAGCTATGTTACTATGTACTTGTAAATTCCTCACAACTGAAGTAAATATAAACAGATTATTTTCTTGTAGTGGT